CTAGGCTGACGCCACGGCACTCTAGCCTGGGCAAAAGAGTGAGACTCTGTCTCCACAAAAAAAAAAAAAAAAAAAGATGCTATTAGTTTCTGGTATCAAGTTAACAAAATAAGCCTGGCTTTCTAAGAATTTTCATCAAGGAAAAAGTACTGAGTTTTTTTCAGGTGTCTTTTCTGCATCACATTGATCATACTGTTTTCTCCTTTCACCTATTCATGTAAGTTAATTATTTAAAAAATATATACTAAAGTGGATTGTAAGATAAACTTATTAATATGGCTTAGCTGGCTTTCACGATCTAGATATCATCTTTTAAGATTATATCCTACCCCTTACTAATTGTTCAAGAAATATGCCAGGCTTTCTCAGTCACTACCGCCTTTGTGCCCTTCAACAATGGAATGCCTTTTACTCTTTCTTAGGCTTCCTGTTAAATTTCCAATAATTCTGCAAGACTCAGCAAATTAAATTTCCTTCTATGTTTCTCCCTTCTTCCCAACACTTTGCTCAGCCTGCCCCGCTCACACACAATTAGGCACATTCCACTGTGTTGTTGGCAATTTTCGCATATTGCCATCACAGCACTGCTCATTAGATTGTAATTGTTTATTCATTGTTCCTGCACCATGACAGCCTAATACAACTTTCAGAGGTTGATAAATATCTCAGTTGTTTCCAGTTTCTGACTATTGCTATAGACATCTGTTCTTGATCCTTTGTGTGAATGTTTTCATTTTTCTTGGGTACACACCTACAAGTAAAATTGCTGGGTCACAGTATGTAGGTTCATTAGCTTTAGTAGATATTGGCAAATATTTTCCCAAAGTGGTAGTACCAGTTTATACTCTATCGTCAATGTATCAGAGTTTCAGTTGTTCCATAAGTTCACCAACACTTGATACTGCCATAAATTATAGTCATTCTGATATCTGTGCAGTGGTATCTCATTTTAATTTGCATTTCTCTGTTGGCTAATGATGCTGAATATCTTTTCATGCTTATTGGCCATCTGGATTCCCTCTTTGCATAAGGTGTCTGTTCTTTGCCGATCTTTTTTAAGTGAATAGCCTTTTTTCTTATTAATTTGCAAGAGTTCTTTATACATACTATAGATAAGTTTTTGCCATATATGTATTTATACACATATAAATCCTTCAATATCTCAAAATCAAATACCATTTCCTGGTGTGTTGGCTTGCATTTTTACTCCCTTAAAGCTATTTTTGGATAAGCAAAAATTCATTTAATGAAGTCTAACCTTTTCTTTATAAAAGCACTGTAGTAACAAAAAATTGTTTAGTGTTTATTAATAAATATCCTAGATCAAAGATTTAATCTAGATCTTAATATCTGAAGTTTTCATAGGCTTTATGTATTTAATATAATCTACTATTTAAGCATGTACTATATACTTAATGTTTAAGTGATATTTTAAGCTATAAAAACAAAAAACACTTCTTAATGTTTCACTAAATTCTTTGAAGTTTTTTTTTTCACTTACATTAAATTTCCCCTGAAAAACAATTCAACTGAAGCATGAGGTAATTTCTTCTTTTAAATACTATATATTAAAATTGCTGGCTGGGCGCGGTGGCTCACGCCTGTAATCCTAGCTCTCTGGGAGGCCGAGGCGGGCGGATTGTTTGAGCTCAGGAGTTCGAAACCAG